CTGAGCAAATAATCTGAGAAGCTGGGTTATATGAAGAAAAACGTGGCATCAGGATGGAGGAAGATTCATTAACAACCTGTGATATGCAGATGATACAACCTTGTTTGCTGAAAGTGACGAAGACTTAAAATATTTACTGATGAAGATCAAAGGGCACAGCCTTCGGTATGGATTGCATCTCAATGTAAAGAAAACAAAAATCCCCACCACTGAACCAATAAACAACATTCTTATCAATGGAGAACAGATTGAAGTTGTCAAGGATTTCATTCTTCCTGGATCAATTATCATCACTCATGGAAGCAGCAGTCAAGAAATCAAAAGACATATTGCATTGGGCAAATCTGCTGCATAAGACCTTTTAAAGTGTTGAAGAGCAAAGATGTCAGCTTGAAGGCAGTTGTGCCTAACCCAAGCCATGGTATTTTCAATAACCTCATATCCATGCAAAAGCTGGACAGTGAAATAGGAAGACTGTAGAAGAACTGATGCTTTTGAGTTCTGGTGTTGGAGGAGAATATTGAAAGTGCCATGGGCTGCCAAAAGAACCAACAGATGAGTGTTGGAAGAAGTGCAGCCAGAGTGCTCCTTGGAGGCCAGGATGGTCAAACTTCGTCTCTCATAGTTTGGACATATTGTCGGGAGGGACCAGTCACTGGAGAAGGATATCATGTTTGGTGGAGGGTCAGAGAAAAAGAGAAAGAATCCCAGTGAGATGGATTGGCCAAGTGGCAGCATCAATGGGCTCAAGTGTGGCAACAATAGTGAGGTTGGCCCAGGATTGGGCATTGCTTCGTTCTGCTGTGCATAATAGGGTCATTATGAGTCAGTACCAACTCGATGATACCTAACAATAAGAACACCAATGTGATGGCTGGACTGCAGTTATCTTGGCAGGGTCAGACCAAATGATTTCGAGGGTCTTATAATGGCCCATGGGCCAGATGTTCCCCACCCCTGCTGTGTAGGGTTTCTGAAGAGTGGCTAGTGGGTTTGAACCACGGATCTTGCGGTTAACAGTCCACTGCTGTAACACCTCACCAGGACTCTTTCATATAGGTGGGATCACAGTATTTGTCCTTTTGTATCTGACTCATTTTATACTCAAGATCCTAGTGTGGCGCTGCAGGAAAATGTACTAGACCACAAGGTCAGGCAGAGCTGCAAGGTTGGCTGTACAAATCTACCAACTGCCCCTCGGAAACGCTGTTCAGGGTTGCTGTAAGTTGGAACCGACTCAACGGTATTTAACAACAGTATCTTATTTGTTTGGAGTCCTGGTGTGGTGCTGTAGGTTAATGCGCTGGACTGCAAAGGTTAGTCTGAACTGCAAGGTCGACAGTTCAAGCTCACCAGCTGCTCCTCGGGAACCCTACCTATACAGGGATACTACGGGTTGGAATTCACTCGACGGCACTTCACAACAACAGAATTTCAGTCAGCATAATGTTCTCAAGGCTCATCCATGCTGTATCAGGTCCCAGGACTCCACCTCTCTTCAGGGTGAAATAGTGACCCACTGTATGGATGACCCAGGTGGTGTTTACCCATCACTTGCTGATGGATGTTGGCGTTGTTCCCACCTTTTGACTACTGTGAATCACACTGCAGCAAACACTGACAGACCAGGGTCAGTGTGAGTCCCTGTTTTCAAGTCTTTTGGGTATAGACCCAGGAGTGGATTTGCTGGGCCACAGGGTAATTCTGTGTTTACCTTTTTGAGGTATGAAACAGGATATGCCTTTTAAGTGAACAGTTGTTTTAGACACTAAAAGCATTAGTGAAATGTCCCCCGTTTCCCCTCTCCCTCTAGTTTTCCCTTTCCTATCTGCCCAGGACCACAAGGATGGTGTTTCTGTTCTGCAGACAAGAGGATGATTCAGTGAGGTTCCCGAGGCTGCACTGTCACATTTTGGCCTGGACCCGGTACCCTGGCACTACCCTCACTGGAGCCACTTTAACTGCTGGTTTGTGTTGCGGGGGACATTTAGTGAGGTATGGAGGCATTTGTTTTTGTCAAGACTTGGAAGTTGGGGATGCTTCCGGCATCGAGTGGGTGGAGGCCAGGGATGCTATTCAACCCCTACAGTGTACAGGGCAGCCTCACTGATGGATGAACTACGTCCCCCAAAGAGGCATGTTGAAGTCTTAACCCTGGTCCCTGTGAATGTGACGGTATTTGGAGATGTGAGACTTTGCAGATGCCATCAGTGAGGTTAGCATGAGCTCAGATGGAGCAGGTGGTATTCATATACAAGAGATGAAGAGATGGGCAGAGAAATGATGCCATGGGACACGCCTGCAGCGAGTTAAGGAGTGCCTGGAGCCCGCAGGCTGGGAGCGAGGCTGGGAATAGATTCTCCCTGTGGGCTGCAGAGGAGGAAGCCACTCAGCCAATACCCTGAGGTGTCGTCTGTGCTTTAAGGCCCGCACTTCCGGCAGTCCCTGGAGATGCGTACAGTGCGTGTGCAAGCATGTCTGAGCATGCATATACGTCTGCACATGTGCACACAGTACTGTTCATGTGTATTTGCGCCTGGGGAGTCTGTGTGCAGACAAGTACCTGGAACGTGTACTTGGCGCTGTAGCCTGACCTCCGGATGCGCACGGTCTCCAGCATGCCTGTGTAACGTAGCTGCTGTAGCACCAGCTCCTCATCAAAGAACAGCTCCTTCTGCAACGGCACACGGAGGGGTCAGGGAGCAGGCGTGAGCTGTCCGTGGGGTGGAGACTAGGTGCTAGTTCCCAGGCAGCCGCAGTGCTGGGGTGGGGCCTCCTTCCTGCCTCCACTTCTCCTTCATTCCAGACATTCTCCTCACACACCAGATCCACTGTCCATCCTTGGTCCTCCGTCCACACTCAGATAATATCCTGCCAACACTCCGTCTGCTCTCACTCTGAGCCCTGACCAGCCACTGTTGCCCTGGATGTGGATCCTGGAACCCTGTCTCCACTCAGCTCCACGTGATTTTTATAAGCTGGCTACAGCCCCGACACCCTGCACTCAGGCTATAAAGCCTGCCCCCGTCCTCCATGGGAGGTGGGAACACCCCAGGAGCCTGGCCAGCATCAGGCCTGTTTCCCCGGAGGCTTACCTTCTCCGCATTGGAGCGGACACAGCGGATAAAGAAGGGTTCTGCCTTGCCCAGTGCCTCCAGAAGCTTGTTAAGGGACGCCTAGGGAAAGACAGAGAAGATTTTGTGCTGAATTGGGCTGTGGAGATACCCATAAGAACAGACCACTTGCCAAAGGGGATAAAGGGTTAAACCCTGTCAGCAGGAGGGACACCGGACACAATGCAGGTCCCAGGACAAGGCAGCTGAAGCCACATGTTTCAGCCAGAGGCTGCGCTACTGTTCTTGCCTGGACCTCAGGTGGAAGGGGGTGGGTGTGGGCCAAACTCCTTCTGGGGAATTAAAACAAGTGTTGGCTCCTGAAGTCATCTCAAACCAAACAACAGTTTAACTTAGAAAAGGATGCCTGCTTTCAGCATTGTGTTCGTACAGGAAATATCTGTTCTTGTAAAATGTCAGTTTCAACTCATAGCGACCCTGTAGAGGGTTTCTGAGGTGGCGTATCTTTGCTGGAACAGATAGTCTCCTCTGTCTTCTAAGGAGTGGCTGGTGGGCTTGAACCCTTTGGTCTGTGGTTCTCAGTCCCTTACAGAACAGGGTGAGATCAAATTGCAAATAGCAACTTGGAAGGTTAGAGGAGAAGCTTAGGGGCAACGCGGATACGTTTAATGATGGTGAACAACTCGAAATAGGATAGAAAGAATGGTTTCATAACTTCAAGAGTAAAACCAATGTCACTGAATTGTCCATGTAGAAATTGTTGGGTGGCATACGTTTCTTTGTATAGTTTTAATCAAGGGGGGGGAAATGTCTTGGAGCTAGAGGGGCCACACTCTTTCTCTATGAGTTGTAGGAGCTCCCCACAAAGTCAGAGTCCCTGAAGTCTGATAACACATTGGTATCGGGACGGAACTAAGATGGAGGAGAGTGGGAAGGAATGAAAAAGTAGACAGTGAGTTCATAGATGCTGTCCCCCTAAAATGTGTTCCCATGCTTCCTGGAAGTCAGGGGACAAGGGAGACATGTCCACATGACCCAGTTTGGCAGTTTCATTAACCAATGGGCTGGCCTGGCCCAGGAGGCTGACCCACTGCTTCTCATCCAGGGTGACTGTGTCCTAAGGACACAGGATGATGTTTGTGGTTGTTACAATTAAGGATGCGTGTATGGTGTGTGCGTGCTACTGGCATCTAATGGATGGAGACCAGGGATAGCACTCCGCACTCTACAGCATGCAGGGCAGCCTCCATCACAGAGAATGATCCAGAACTAAATGCCAACAGTGCTGAACTGGGGAAATGCTGCATTGTTTGAGGAAAAACTGACTTCAATCCCTACCTCACAACCGTCACCAGAGTAAGTTCCCAGTGAGTTAGACGGTTACAAACCCAGGGAACTCTCCAGCTTCTGTGACCTCCTGTCCTTTCCTCTGTCCCACCTGTCTGTGTATTTAATGCGTGCAGTGTTGTACAACTTCAGTAGGTCAGGTGACCACAGGAAGTAGAGTCTATTGGGGGTCAGCTGAGTTCCTTAACTATGTGCTGACCACAAGGTTGTAATCAAGTAGTTCTCACTTGGGGGAAATTCTGGCCCCCAAGGGATAATGGTGATGTCTGGGGACCTTCTTAGTTGTCACAACTGGGGAAGGATGTTGCTGGCATTGAGTGGGTGGAGACTAAACCCCAACCACAGAGAATGTTCCAGCACCAAAGGTGGACTATGCTGCTGTGGGACACCTGAGATAATGGATAAACCGCTTGTGTTGAAGCTTGCCTTGGCTGAGTTGCATGAGTGCCACCCTGCCTCAGTTTCCCCCATTGCTGCCCACCTGGAACTGTGCGCTGATGCTGGGCGGCTTCTTCTTCTTGTGCAGGTGCAGTAGAGACTTGGTGGTGCGGTCGTGAAGGGTCATGCTAATGATGAGCTTCAGCGACTTGGAGTCCAACAGGTTCTAGAACAGACACACAGGGTCTGGGATCTGGCTTGCCCTTCACAGCCCCAATGGACACAGCCGAGGTTTAGGGTCTCAGCTGCCGAGGTTGATGGAAGGGGCTTGTCAGGACCACCCTTGGTGGTGGCATCTGGGGTGGGGAGCTGGCAACAGCCTCTTATATGGCCCAGAGAATGCCCTCTCTCCTCTTTCTTGGGATCACAAAAAGAAACCCCTGGCTGCCAGGGGCCTCATTTCAGCTGCATGCTGGTCATGATTTACCCCAGGCAAGCCGGGCAGGGCCAAGCCCTTCTCTACTTGCTGACCAGGCTGAAAGAGTGTCCTTGTGCTTCTAGAAACTTCCTGAAATTTCTAGGGGGATAAGAAGCTAGAGCACCCAGCTATAGGCCCCTTCGCCTCCTTCTGGAGGAGAGTGTCCTGGCTGCGGGGCCTCCTCTCCCAGGGGCTGTATCCTGTTTCCAGTTGCCTTGGAGGTGATTTAGTCAATGACTCACTGATACAGGGATGTTACAGCTACTGGGCAGGCAAGCTCTGAGGTGGATGTCAGGATTCAGGGCTCACACAAGGCTGAGCTAGGCTCCAGCTGAACCCCACCCTACCATCCCCTTCTGCTCCCCTTTCTTGACCCCACCGTGTGCCCCTCTGGTCCGAGAGCTCCCCTCCAGACATCCCTTGTAAGAATACCCCTGCCTCAGGCTTTGCTTCTAAGAAACAAAGAGAGCTCCAAATCATTTCAACAAGAGATAATTAAAAAATTAAAAAAATTTTTTGGAGGAGGGCAGTTGTGAAGAGGAAGGTACCCAAGAAGTTGAAGGAGATAAAAGGGTTTCCCACCTATTTTTGGAAAAAAACAAATCCAGGTATCCTCCAGAACAAGTAAGACTAAGACATTATCTTTCAGTATGCCGCGCGCGTTTACCTTGGGAATGATCTGCTTTTGTTTGATACCTTTACTTTTCCTGTCAAAATATTAAAAACGGTTTTGTGAACAAGAGGAACACGGCGTTGGTTTTTGGGTTAGTTGAGCAAGCCACGCTTTGCGGGTTAGACCAAGCGAGAGCAGAGAATGAAAGAAAGGCAAGTGCAACAAGGCCGCTGCTGGACCCTTGGGGACCCCAGGCAGCTGCCACCTGCAGGCACAGGGAAGAGTGCTGCTCAGGGGCTGATCTGTGGACACCAGCTCTTCCCGGTGGGCAGCAGACGGACTCTGTTTCTGGTTGTCTCTGAGAGGACATGAGCATGGTCTAAGGGGAGTGTGTGTGTGTGTGTGTGTGTGTGTGTGTGGCTCCTCATTTGGAAATTTGGAGAGAAAGGGTCATCAGAAGAGCGGAACGTTCATCCTTATAAGTAAAAAACCAAGTCCATTGTCCAGTTGATTGTGAATCCTGGTGACCTCATGTGTGTCAGGGCAGAACTTCTGAGTAAGGTTTTCTTGGCTGTGACCGTTGTGAAAGGAGTCCCTGAGTGGGGTAAACAAGCTGAAAGGCTGGCAGTTCTTCCCACCAGGTGGCGCTGCTGAAGAAAGGCCTGGAGATCTGCTGCTGAAAACCCTACAGAGCAACGATGTACAAGGCCCACGTGGGGTAGTCAGAATTCAACACTGACACCCACCGCCATCTGCAACATTGGAGTCACGGTTTACATGGTTGTTTTAGGGGCCGTGGAGTCGATTCCGACTCACAGAGACCCTACGTACAATAGAACTATGGATACTACCAGTCCTGCGCCATCCATACAATTCTTGTTATGTTAGAATCCCTTATTTCAGCCACTGTGTAGCTCTACCTTATTGGTGCGAGGGAGACCTTGCTCTTTATCACTGAACTGACCCTCTATTTTTCCGTGCTTGGCTCACTCAGGTGGATGCTTACAAAACCCAACCCCCTTCCATGGACTCCTTTAGCTGGGGCAGCAGTGTGGGATGGTTACTATAAGTTCACTTGGCTACGGTATTATTCTAAGTGGTTTGGCCAAGTGTCAAGTCTAGTTGCTGTTTCGTAATATAATGTAATAGAATCACATAAGTCATTTAATGTGATCAATCTATCTATCACATGAAAGGGGAGTTTCCTTAAGGTATGTCTTGCTTTCCAAACTGCAAATACAAGGGGGCTTCGAAAAGTTTGTGGAAAATAGATTAAGAAAGATAATGAAAATTTACCATGACCTTTTGTAAGTCCCCCCGTATGATTTTGGCAGAACTTGCTCTTTTGACCCTGCACACCTCCTGTCACCTGACCTTGGATCTTGGGACCTAAACCTGTAGGACTCTTGCCTGAATGATCAATTTTGGACTTGTCAGCCCCCACAACAGTGTGAGCCAAGTCCTCGGAGTAAATCTCTCTCTCTACGTACATCCCACAGCTCTGTTTATTTAGAGAATACCGTGACTCACAGGAGGAGAAGCAAGCTCCACACTGCGTGTCAGGGAGGAGGGGGGAGCACGTTTGGGGAGGGCTGGGCAGAACGAGATGCATGTTCTAGCCAAGCTGCCCAACTGGGCATTAAGGACGCAGCAGCGCAGACGCTGAGGCTTGTTATGAAGGCAGATCAGCTGTGGCTGGCTTGCAGACTCAGCCGCGAAAGCGCTTGGTATAATTTTTAGCTGGTGAGGAGTGCCAGGGATATTCGGCTGCAGAGAGCAGGTGGGCTGGAGCCCCCAGGGGTGGCGAGGGCGGTTGTTGCACTTTTGAGGGGCCACGCAGCCACGAGAGGGACTCACGGGATGAAGGCTCGGGATTTCTGGAGCCGGCTGAGGGACTGGAGAAGCCGCCGGGGGTCCTCGCCCTGCCAGGGCAGCCCCTTGATGCTCTTGATGATTTGGTCATGCAAATCTCTGGGGGATGGGGGTGAGGGTGCAGTGACAGAGAGAAGATAGAGTTAGAGCAAAGGCCCACCACCATGGGGTCCCTGTGCTGCTGGGACGTTCCCCAGCCGCCAAAACTGAAACATGCAAGTGTGGTCTGAGCACAAAATCCTGCCAGAGACCTGCTCACTGAAGTCCCTTCCACCTGTGTCTGGAAGGGGAAGCCACCCTCTGGGGAGCTCCAACAGAGTGGAGTTTGCAACGTGGCACCTTGGATCATTAGAGAAAGCTGCAAGGGCCACTGAAGCAGTGAGACCAAAGTGTCCCCTGGAAAGATGCCAGCTGCTTTCCCGTTGCTATTCTGGGGCTAAACCTCCTGAGAGCTTCCCGAAGTCAGGGAGGGACGGCTTTGAGGATACAAGCCAGAGTTTAATATGGTCATTCTGCCCCCAGGGGACCCTGGCCAGATCTGGGGATGTTTGTGGCCACCACATCTGGGGGAGGGGCTGCTAAGGGCACTGAGTGGGTGGAGACCAAGGAGGCATCTCAACATCCTCCCCCTCCAGTGCACAGACAAAGTTCTGGAGCCAAACACCAGTGGTGCGGAAGGGAAAATGCCCCAGCATAAGGGATTTCTTCATCCTGAAGAATTCACTCTTAAACTTGGTTTCATTTTGTTCACTTGCTTTCTGGTTTACGTATGAACTGACTTTTTAGGTTAAAAACTCTAGTCCCAATGTGCAACAAGAGTTTAGAGATAAAAATGGGAGTGCTTTTAAAGTGACTTATTAATGAAGAATACAGAAACAACGAACGTCTTCATAGAACTTTCTAGAGTTTTTCCCGGCCAACCGGATTTCTGGTTTGTTTGTTTCACGTGCATGTTTAAGCTTGAGGCGGTGGGTGGAAGGACCCAGGCAGCAACACCCCCTTGCCTGTGTTCCATGCATCAGACCGCGTGCCCGCACCAGAGGCCACACTTACCTCCCTGCCTTCGTTCTCCAGGGAGGCACAGAGCAAAGATAAGAGTGGCATTATGTTTTGTGTCTGGGCTTGGATGCTTCCTCCCGCCCCGGCCAAATCCGGCCGCATGTTCCCCTGCAGGCCCTGGGGCCCCTCAATCTGTTCTCTCTGCCCTGACGCTGCACAGTGCACTGGGGCACGTGGCTCCTCTCGTGTGCCTCCCTGGTCTCGGGTTCTAAGACTTTTGCTTCCACTTACTTCTTGCTTTCATAGAAAGCAATGATGTCCTCAAAAGCGTTAAAATCGAACTCCTCAGAGCCGTCAAATGAGAAATCTAGCATTGAGCAGCTGAAAGGGAGACACTGTATAAACTGATTGCGCTCCCTGGCAGGACCTGTGGCCAGGGGCTTGGCCCTGGGGAGATCGATAAATCCAAGGCCCCTTTGGGAAGAAGTAAACCTCAAAACACAAGTAACTATGGGATGCGTTGGCTTTTCTCCTGCCTCTCTTTCTGGGTGATAAAGCTGGATGAGAAATGTGCCTTATTAAAAACAGGAAAATGATACTTTGTACTTTTAGGTGAATGAACCATGGCCACTGATGGAAAAGCCAGCTCTACTTTCAGGGACACAGTCTACTCCTGAAGAAGTATTATTACAAAAGACTCCAAAACATTAAAAAAGATTAAAAAAAAAAAGACACACTAGAAAACATTGAGATTTGTTGTCTATGGGACTTGTGCATTTTGAAATGGAGAGCAGGGCTGTGCCTGCCCCAGGATTTTTGTACAATATGTTCACATGATTGGCAAGCCCTGCCCACCCTCCTTGCCCAGGTCAACTGGTTCTTTCTCAGCTCAGCCTGCCTAACTCCTGCAGGGATGTAGGACAGCGTCCTTCCTGGCTCTGTCACCTCTGGGACAACTGTCTAGCAAGGCCTTGAATGCACTGCACTGAAGCCTCTCATCCCATTTGGACACTTTTATCCCCTAGTGCCAGTTTATCCTGGGTTATGTAGGGACCCGCAGTTATTGCTAAAGTCCGTTTCCCTTGAGATAGATGTTTGTGACTCATGGTAACCCTATGTGTGACAGAGCAGAACTGGAGTTTTCTTGGCTATAAGCTTATTGAGAGACCTATAAGCTTACTGCCACACCTTTCTTTCACAGCACTGTTGGGTGGATTTAAACTGCCAACTTTTAGATGAGTAGTTAGTTGATGCTAATGATTGTGTCCAGGAACCTACGACTATGCGGAGGATTCTTCAGTCAAGCCTCTGTGCCCCTTGACACACCCACTGGCAGCCCCTCTTGGCTGTGGGAAGGAGTCCCTATATATAGAGCCCACATTTGCCCTGCTGTGCTCTGTGGATAAGGGCATCGATCAAACGCCACCTGTTACTCATTCAGGGCAGCGGCCAGAACTTGGTGTGGACGGTGGGCTTTCAGGACCATTTCTAAACAGCACTGCTGTCCAGAGGCTTTGATTTAGAAATGGGATTATTGTCGCTGTTGAGAAGCGTCTGACTCACGGTGACCACCACCATGAGTGTGCACAGTAAAACTACAGCAGGCTTTTCAAGGGTGTGGCCTTTTGGAAGCAGACTGCCAGGTCTTCCAAGATGTCCCGGGTAGGTTTGAACTGCCAAGTTTGGGAGAGTGGTTAAGCGCTTAACTGTGTGCGCCACCAAGGAACTCCTTTTAGAAGTTCTTACTTACCGGTACAGTTTTTCCGACGGGGTGCTGGCTGCTCTCTGTGGCTCTCCTGGGTGATTTCGGATGCCGGAGCTGCCCGTACCTGCTGGGGACAGAGCGGGCACGGTGGGCACGGTGGGCTGGGTTGCCTGGAGCCTGGCAACCTTGTCTTTCCCAAGGAGGCATCGGGCCTTAACTAGCTGCCACTGAGTGCACACTGGCTCATGGCAACCCCACGTGTGTTGGGCAGAACTGCTGCACAGCGTTTTCAATTGCTGATGTTTTAGAGGCAGGGACTGCCAACCTCCAACCTGTCAGTTAACAACCAAGTGTTTACTACTTCCATCTGTGCCACCTAGGGATTCTAACTACAAGCCTCATGCTAACCAATCTCAAAAACCATGTGATCTTAATATCGAACAGCAGCTTAGCTGCACTAGTAGAAAATGTCTGTCTTGAGCATTGTGCTCTTTCAAGATCGATCCATATAGCATCAAATTGACAACAGCAACTCAAAACATTTCCTAGGACGGACACTCTGGGGGCAGTGAGTTTATGTGAATTGCAGGTGGAACAACTCTGAAAAGAGGGCTGAAAATCGCTGGACAACCCCAACAATGGAAATGATGTCACTGAATTATACATGTAGAGACTTGCTTTGGCTGTATACGTTCCCAACAATATCAACAAAATCAATAAAACAAAACCTAAACCAGAAACAACCTAAGACCCAAAGGCGGTCATTGCAGAGAATCCTGAAGAGGATGATGCCTTCCCCAAATGCCTTCTCCATTTATTTGTGTTTTCTTGTAAAGGTTTTATACTTTTGAGTTCTTTTAAATAGCAACTTTCACAAAATGAGAACCCTGGGGCATGGAAGGTAGGTGCTGTGTGAATCTGTGTGAGAATCACTCAGCTCGTCTAGAAGATTCCTCCCTGGAGAAACGGGGACATGCATTCCTACCTCTGGGCACAAGTGAAGGACTCACCCGGGCTCACAATTAGACCATTCTAACCAATAACAATCCAGTCCTGATTACTGTGTTTTCAGGTAAATCAAAGGTCAAAACCAAACCAACACAATCATCAAAAGGTAGAAAGCACCCAAGTGTCCATCTACACAATGGAACGTTACTCAGGTGTGGACAGGCATGAGCAAGAATATACACTCCAACATGGATGAGTCTGGACAATGTGATGCCCAGTGACAGAAGCCAGACACAACAAACAAGCCACACACTGTGTGACTCCAGTGACGGGAAATGCCCACAACAGGCCGGAACACCTCACACACTGCCACACCCGCCTGTCAGGGAGGCTTGTGTGTCGCTATGATGTGATCAGGTTTCAGTGGAGCTCCCAGACAAGGATGGACAGTGAGGATCAGCATGTTGGTCTACTTCTCAACATCAGCCCATGAAAAGTCTATGGATCTCAACATTCAGTTCTAGAGCTGATAATGGGGATGGCATTTGTTCTGTTGTGTGTAGGGTAGCCATGAGTCAGCTCACCCTAACTTTGGACAAGAGCTGGACAGTGGGCCCCTCCCTCTGCTTACCTGCAGCCTTCTCAATCCTCTCGGCCCGCAGCCGCCCGGCCTCCCGTAGCACGGCCATGGCTCGCACGGCGGCCCGCAGCACAGCCCAGCGGAACACGGCCACAGGGTCCATGCCGATGAGCTCACGTACGTAGGAGCTATCACTACCCCTCAGGAGTGCCACAATGTCTGGCCGCATATAGTCCATGTTCTTCTCCCGGAAGTCCTGGTGGGGAAAGAAAAGTAATGAGGAGGGTATGGAGAGGGGCAAGGAGCTACCTTGACCACAGGGTGGTTTCCACCCAGGAAGCGTCTGCCAGTGAAGGTGAGGGTTTTGGGAAGGTTCAGAGGCCTCTAAAACTTGCCTAGCATCTAGCACAGGACACAAACACACACACCATCTTGCCCCCAAAGTACCCTAAACAGTTGCTGTGGATTTGACTTTGATTCATGGTAACCCCAGGAGTGTCAGAAAACTGTGCTCCACAAGGATTTTCGTGGCAGAGTTTCCAAGCACAGACTGCCAGGTCTTTCTTCTGAGCTTCCAGTGGGTTGACTTGAACCTCCAACCCACTGCTGCTTCTCTCTCAAAGTGACCCTCCAGAACAGAGTAGAACTGCCCCATAGGTTTCCAAGACTATATAGATCTATATGGAAGCAGACAGCCACACCTTTCTCCCACAGGACCACTGGTGGTTTTGAACTGCTGACCTTTGGTTAGCACCACCAGAGCTCTGAAAAAAACTCAAAAGTCAAATCCACTGCCAGCTCATAGTGACCCTGTTGTGAGGTTTCCAACCCTGCAAATCTTTATGGGAGCAGCCAGCTTCATCTTTCTCCTGCAGAGCAGCTGGTGGGTTTGAACTGCCGACTTTGTGACTAGCAGTTCAGTATGTACCCTACAGCACCACAGAGCTCTGATGTTGCTGTTGTGTGCCATCAAGTCAGTTCTGACTCATAGTGACCCTTTATACGGTTTCCAAAAGTGGCTAGTGGGATTGAACTGATGACCTAGTGGTTAAAGGTCCAGTGCATATCCTAAAGTGCCACACAAGGACCCTGATGTTCTTAAGCACTGTCGAGTCAGTTCAGACTCAGAGCGACCCTATAGGTATAGTTCCCGCGAGGCCATAAATCTAAGAGGAGCAGGAAGCCTCATCTTTCTCCTGTGGAGTGGCTGGTGGGCTTGGACTACGAACCTTGCGGTTGGCAGTCCAGTGCTGAGCTTACAGTACCATAGTGCTCCGGGACCCTGACAGTAATGACCAAAATCGAGCAAACCAATGACTGACAAGCTGACTAGATTCAGGGCAACCCCATGTCTGTCAAAATAGGCTATGCTCCATGGATTTCCAATGGCTGAGGTTTGAAAATAGATCACCAGAATTTTCTTCTGAGGTTCCTCTGGGACCTCCTGGGTTTCTGTGGGGCTCCCTCTACAGTGGACATGCAGTGGACACACACCTTGATCTGGTACTTAACCCTCCCCGCGAAGTGCTGGATGATGAAGGCGGGCTCCAAGACGGGCGTGCCCAGGAAGTACTTGTTGTCCTCGTGTTGCTGCTTGAACTTGGCCAGCAGGGTCTGGCTTGTGGCGTGGGGGAAGCTGGAGAGAGAACACAGCCAGTCACGACCTGTGCCTTGAGAGCCCTGATGGGCAGGTCAGGATGTGGCTGGAGCCTTCCAGGCAGGCAGGTGTCCCTGGGAACTCTGGTGGCACAGGGTGCCGTTGGCAGAGCTGTAGTTGACGGGCACAAAAAGGACCCAGTGAGCACTGTGGCCACGCACTGCGTACACAGGGAGTTGTCTGAGTGCCGCCAGTGGCCATGTTTGCCACTGAGAAATAGGAACCCTCATCCATTGCTGGGGAGAACAGTATGGTGGGTCTTCAAACTGTTGAACACAGAACCACCATGTGACCCAGCAATCTCAATCCTAGGTATCACTCCAAAAGAATGGAAAGCAGGCACTCATCAGTCAGATACTTGCAACCCAATGTTCACTGCAGTGCTATTCGCAGGAGCCAAAAGGTGGAAAATACCAGAAATGTTCATCAGCATGTGAATAGATGTTGTTAAGTGCCATGGAGTTGGTTCCGACTCATAGTGACCCTGTACAGGGTTTCTGAGGCTGTAAATTTTACAGGAACAGAGAGCCTCCCTCATCTTTTCTCCCACGGAACAGCTGGTAGTTTCGAACTGTTGACCTTGCGGTTCACAGCCCAATTCATAACCACTATGCTACCAGAGTTCCTACATGAATAGATAAACACAGTTTATTCTATAATATGGAACATTACTTGGCCGCAGAAAGGACTGAAGTTCTAATACAAGTGACAATGTGCATGAACCTTGCAGAGAGGATGTTCAGAGAGAGAAGCCAGACACAGGTTCACGTGTAGTCAGATCTCACTGTTACGATATGTTCCCAGCAGGCAGATGCAGTGAGACACACTGGGAAACTGACATGGGTGATGAGTAGAATGATGGGGTTGGGTTGCAGGGCTATGGGGGAAACACACAGATGAATGCCTGGTCAATGGGGGGCCCCCACGGTTTTCTGGGGGGGCTGCAAAGTCTGTGAATACTTGCTAGGGTAAGGCCTGGTCCGACAGCCCAAAGGGCAGGTGCAGGACCATTTCTGGCCCCAGGCCCACCTGTACCTGGACGCTAGGTTGTGGGGGGCCCGTCCAGCTGCAGGAGGGAGAGGCCAGAATGAAGTAGAGCTCTGTTCTGCCTGGGGGATGGAAGCAGAATAAGGAGTTCCTTGTACCTGGTTGTGCCCACCTCCCAGGAGGGAAATGCCACAGCAGCCGTGGCCAGCGCTGTCTCTGCCAAGCTCACCACAGATGTAGGACGGACATGAGCCTCCAGACCCTGACGTGGCTCAGTGAGGAACTGGGGGGGGATGGGCAGAGTTGGAGGCTCTATAGTGACGAAGGTCATCGTTTCCAGGGCTGGCACATGGATGGTGGGAGCAAGATGCTTGCCTGGTCTACTATAAAACTCATCCATCAAGAACATTTTTTTAAATCCTAATACTAGTAGACCCTGACTCCTGGTGACCCCCGAGGGTGGCTAATGGCTGATTTTTCAGAAGCAGCTCACTGGACCCTTCTTCTAAGGCATTTCTGGGTGAGCTTGAACACCCCACCTTTGGGCTGGCAGCTAAGGACATTCACCATGATGTGCACTACCTAGGGACTCCTTTTTATCACAATGGCCAACATTTACTGACTGGGCTGTACCAAGATGTTACTTACTACTACTTTATGGAAGAGCAAAGTTCATTGTAAAGATGTATGTCAAGGCTTCAATCACTTGTCCTAGGATTTGTCCAGTTTTACACACATATGAGAAAGGTTTTAAATGAAACTAGGTCCCAGGGGGCTTCCTAAACAGCACTGAGGTCGCTCTTCCTAATATTCCCTGTCCCTTCCTTGGACTGTTTCTATCTGTCCCAGTTGCAAATGGAGCTGTCTGTTTTACTGAGACCCAACCTAGCCCTGTGGAGACTTGATCACTGTCATCCCATGTCAGGCGACAGGTAAGGCACTTGATCAGTGCCTTTTTTGCCCTACTGCCGGCAGCATGGTGTGGCTTGTTACTCAAGGCTGCTGATGAGGGAGTGAGCTCCCAAGCCAGGAAACGTATTATGAACTGTATTATGTATTATGAATCCTATACTTGTGGATGTGAGCCCACTGGGGATTAGAGTTTCTTGTTATTTGAATTATGCCCTATCAAAAGATGCATTCCATTTAGGCAAATCTGTTGCAAAGACCTTGTTAGAGAGTTATAGAGCGAAGAGGTCAGTTTGAGGACTAAGGTCGCCGGATCCAAACCATGGTATTGTCAGTAGGCTCACACGCATGTGACAGCTGGCTAGTCTGGAGCTCGTCTGGAGGAAAACTGATGCATGTGAATTATGGTGTTGGTGAAGAGTATTTCTGCTCAAGCAGCTACAAGAGACAAAGACAGGCACGTACTCACCTGCTCTCCTCATCCAGCAGGTAGAAGAGGCCGGTGGGCTTCCTGCTGATGAGGTGAATGCAGCCCACGTTGTCCGTGTAGTCGATGTTGTGCCAGGTGATGCCTTCGCTCTGGTACTCCTCCTGTGGGATGGATATGATGACAAACACCGACGGCAGACAGGCATGCACACTCTCGGATGCCTACCAAAGCAGATGCTGGAAGCCACAAGCTAGCCTATGCCCGGACTCATAGTGACCCCATGTGTGTCATAGTTGAACTGTGCTCCATGGGATTTTCAGGGTCCGAGTTTTTGGCAATAGATTGCAGGCCTTTCTTCAGAGGTGCCGCTGGGTGGATGCAAACCTCCAACCTTTCAGTTAACAGCCGAGAGCGTTTACCATTTGCACTATGGGTTAGGGGCCAGCAAACTTTCTCTGAAAAAGGCCAGAGAGCGGATATTTTTGGTTTCATCGACCACATGGCCTCTGTTGCCAAAACTCAGGTCTGCAGACAAGGTGTCAATCAGTGGACCTGGTTGTGTGCTGACAAGACTAGCAGCTGGGGCTGGATTTGACCCACCTCTGATTCAGAGAGGTGCTGTCCAATGGAATTACAATGCAGGTCAAGTAGATTTTCCATGTTTTACTGGTGTCACTGTGAGCTGGCATGGAGTTGGCCCACAAGCATAATGAAATGAAATGCTACCAGGTCCTGCACCATCCCTATGATCAGTTGTGGATTGGGCCCAGTGGCTGATTTTTGGAAGTCAACTGCCAGGCATTTCTTCCTAGTCTGTTCTGTTCTAGAAGCTTCACCACAGCAACAGGCAGATGGTGTGCTTATGAGGAGCACTGGCTGGAATCCGAATCCAAGCCTCCTGCTTAGGAGGTGAGAAGTGTTATCACTGGGCCAACATTGCTCCCCAAGTTTTCAAAGAGCCACATTAAAGCAATAAAAGGAAACAAATTTTAGCTTTGAGGTAATTAAAAAAAGTAATTTTAAGGTAAAATTCAGTTGAATGATAGATTGATTTTCACCCAATAGAGCCAAAGTATCTTCATTTTCAACATGTAAGCAAAACAAGGAGCTCTGGTAGCATAGTGGTTATGAATTGGGCTGTAAACCGCAAGGTCAGCAGTTCGGAACTAGCAGCTGTTCTGCGAGAGAAAGATGAGGCTTTCTGCTCCCGTACAGATTTACAGCCTCAGAAACCCTGTTCAGGGTTGCTATGAGTCAGACTCCATGACCACCACCAAGCAAACAAAAAACTAAGCACGAGCTATTTCATGTTCTTTTTCTTTCCACCTTGTCTTTGAACCACTACCCATTGGCTTTACTGCAGTGACTTGTGTGTTGCTGTGATGCTGGAAGCTATGCCACTGATATCTCAAATACCACAGGGTCACCTATGGTGGGCAGGTTTCACCGGAGCGTCTCAACTAAGACTAGGAAGAAAGGCCTGGAAACCTACTGCCAAAAATCAGCCATCACCCTATGGATCACAATCTAACTTTACCTAGCACAGTGCCAGAACATGAACTCCCAAATTGGAAGGCAATCGAAATACAGTGGCCATAAGGATGAGCTCGAAGATGCCAACCAACATGAAGATGAAGCAGAACGGGGCAATGGGCGTGGGGGGGTCACCATGAATCCAGAACTGGCCCGATGGTAACTAATAAAAAGAGTAAGTGTACGAAACCTGGTATATTTTTACACTTTCTTCACATCTCAGTTCCAATCAGTCACACTCCAAGGGCTCAACAGCCAGAAGGCTAAATTATAAAGCCAGTGAAACCTCCACAGAAATCCACCAGCATTTTTCTGTCCAAATCCTCACAGAGAAGGACAGAAGTGAGTAAAGATGGATGCGTGTGTAGCAGAGAGAGAAGAGGTAACACAGATCACAGTCACCAGCCAGGGTAGATCCCTCAGATGCCAGGCTGGTCTGTCCCCTGGAAATGACGTGGACATTTGAGCAAAGCTGTTGCTAGTTACCACGAGTAGATTCCAAATACTGGTGACCCCAGTGTATAGAGCAGAACTGCTCCAGTGGGTTTTCAAGGCAGTGACATTTCAGTAAAGCAGACTGTAGGGCCTGTCTTATAAGGCGCCTCTGGGTGGGTTCGAACCTCCAACCTTTTGGTTAGTGGTTGAGCACTTAACCATTAGCAGCACCCTGGGACCCAAGTAAAGATAGAGTTGAGGACTGTTCTGCAGCCAAGACGTTCCCGTTGGTAGGCCAGCCTAAGCTGGGTGGGGCTTTCCCAAGCTTTCCTTTTTGTGGAGAGAATGCAGCAGCAAGAGGGAAATTCTGGGCAAGTTCACCAATGGGTCCTGAGAGAGATCCCAGTTCTAGAACACTCTATTTCCCCAGGACTAGGAGGGTCCCCAGAGCACACTTTCTCACCTGCTCCAGTTTGAAAATGTGCTGATTGAAGTAATATTGAAGCTGCTCGTTGGCGTAGTTGATGCAGAACTGCTCAAAGCTGTTCCTCTCAAAGTCTTCAAACCCGAAGATGTCGAGGACCCCGATGGACAGGCACTGTGGAAGAGAGCTGGTGGGGATCACAGAGAAGGTCCTCCCTGAAGGAGTGGCCGTAATCTGGGCAGCTGGGAGGTCCCTCGTGTTTAGTCTGAGCTGAGGCCATCCGCTGGGCCTGATGGTCCCTCTCCTGATGCCACAGGAGGTACGCCGGGGTCACCTGGCTCTGGAGTGGGTGGAACACTCACCGACACAGACTCTTCCATGTCCTTCTTGTTGAGGAGGGCGTGGTTAATCCGTAGCACGATCCAGTCAAACAAGGCGCTATACAGAGACTTGGCCATGGAGTCGCGGGCGGTTATGGCCTGGGCCCACAAGAAGGGGGACGTCACATGGAAGGGAAGGGTATCATACAGAAAAGGGGGGTGTCACATGTAGGACTTGAGCTCACCACCTTTTGGTTAGCAGCTGATTACAGTCATCATTTCTGTCACCCAGGGACCCAACCAGTTGTTGTCCATTTGGCCCTGACTCAGTGACCCTATGTGTGTCAGTGTTACTGCACTCCATAGGGTTTTCCCATCTTCTTGGCAGTAGATGGCCTGTCTTCTGAGGCATCTCTGAGTGGACCGGAACTACACTTTTCAGTTAGCAGCCAAGCAAGTTAACTGTTTGCACCACCCAGGGCTCCAAGCAGTTGTTTTCGACAACACATGGCGATCATGTCCGAGCAGAACTGTGCTGCTGTTAGGGCTAGGGCCTACCGGAAGTAAACTGCCAGGCCTTGCTTTCAAGGGGCCTCTGGGTAGACTCAAATTTCCAACTCTACTTGCAGCTGAGCACACCCACCATCATCAGCACCGCCCAGGGGCTCTAGATTGTCTACAATAACTGCCGAAAATACCCAAACAGCTTCCCATCACCGAGGGAGGAGCCCTGGACTGACTACTAGACCCCACCTTGGGCAGATAACCTCCCACCGCAAAGCAAGTTACACGCCACGGCCATGTTGACTCATGAGATACAAAATCACAAGATAGACACGCCAGAAAGAAAATAGCCCAGTTGCAGCCGAGGCCAGAGGGAGGCATCTTGTTAAGACTTACAGGGTTCTGGCCCGAGACCAGGAGTCCACGCAAAGGCCTTACAGGCTATGCTCAGGCCTAGGGGTTGGCAAACTTTCCCCACAAAGGGTCAAACAGTATTTGTGGCTTTGGTGGCTGGGCACTTAAGAATTCAGCTCTGGTGTTGTACAGAGAAAGCAAGCTGCTGGACCAGTCCCAGCTGCCATGGCGTCAACCCTGACTCAGGGTGACCCCACCTGTGTCAGAGGAGCATAGGGCTCTTAACAGCGGATTTTCTGGAAGCGGATCATCAGGTCTTTCTTCTAAGGCACCTGAGGAAGTCAGCAGCTGAGTGCGGGGAACATTTATGCTCCCCAGGGACTACAAAAGCAGCCACTGACAATATGTATATGGCTGTGTGTAGCTGTGTGTCAATAAAACTTTATTTACAAACCTAAGCAGGGGGCTGGATTTGGTGAGTGGGCTGTCAAATGCCACCTAAGCTGGCTGGTGCTGTTACCGTGTGCACAGGAGGATGTGAAGGGACTGTCTGCACCTGCTCTTTCTGGAGAGCCAGCCGGCCCACCCATATTTCTGGGGAGGGACCCAGGCCATGCTCACCTCATTGAAACTGTAGGGTAGGATGAGCTTGTCATTGACGGTCACTGTTTTTCTCTTGGTGAGAACCTCCACCAGGATCTCTCGCTTCACCTGTTTCATCATCAGGGGGTGGGGGGGTGGGAGAGAAAAAGGGGGTGAAGAGCTTGTTGGGCACAATCAGCATCCCTCCTGGGCCTGGGGAGAAGGAAGATGGACCCTAAAATGTCTGTACCCAAAGCCACCCCAGGACAGACAAGCTGAGCCCTTCTGTCTGCTGTTGAGTTACAGAATTCTGGCTCCATGAACAGGACGGCAGCTGTGGGGCCAGACGGTGCCTGGTGACCCACTTTGAAGCCACTGCTGCTTGAGCCTGGGCTTGGACCTCCCCTGGGGACAGGCCCCATGGGAGCCAGCTGTCAAGCCTTCAAGTCTCTTCCAGCCTGCAGAAGGAAGCAGGGAACAGACATGCATGCATGTATGTATGTAGACAGATGGGCAGACAGGTAGATAGGTAGTTAAATAGGTGTGTGGGTAGGTAGGTAGACAGGCAGATAAATAGACAGGGTCTCGTATGCTAAAGCACGGTTTTCCACCTTGGCACTCCTGACATTTGGGCCTAGAACACCCTGCGGTGGGGCATCCTATGCAACTTTCCTGGCCTCCACCCACACGATGGATAGCACCTGCTTCCCCAGTCATGACCATCACCAAAGCTGCCTAAGACTAGAATTGTCCCCAATGAGGCCCCACAAGATGACCTCGCCGATCATGCTGTCATTTAGAGAGAGTCATGCCCCGCCTAGGGAGGTCACCAGAAATGAGGAAGGGACACGGTGGAGAGGCTGGGAGGAAGCGGTGCGTGGGCCCAGTTCTGGAATCACAGGTTAGCAGGAAGTCCTGGGTGCTGGCTGACATATGCACCTAGTCCAGGCTCTGGCTGGAGTGCAGGGAAAGTACCTTGAGGAGGTGGGAGAGTGTGTCCAGCACCTCTGGGGGCCCGACCTCCAGTCCCTCATCGCGGCCCGTGGGCCTCTTCTTGTAGGTGACGTTGCCAAGGTACAGGATGGCCGAGAGGACGGAGAAAATCCTTAGGAAGAAAAGGGTCTGAAGTAAGGACTGTTTCTGCCATTGCCAGGCCATGGAAACATCTAGAAAACTTGCACTTCATTAGTAAAACCAGCAAGCTTCCATTAGAACAAAGTCTGAGGAACGCTGGGTCCTACTGAGGACTCGCTGACTGTGGAATGTAGCTTCATAGAAGGTCTTTTAACTTTTTGGGTGGGAAGGGTTGGGGACAGAGTTTTCAAACATTTTTTATGAATTCTGGAAGAACATATACCAAAACATCAGGCAGTGATTATTGTCAAAAATTTGAAGCATGGATGATTTCCCCCCCTTCTTTTCTAATACAGTAAGTTTGCAGAAGCTGGAAAATGCGTATGGTAGAAACCTGTCAGAGAAGGAAAATGAAAATACTTTCCACTGAAACACACAACAGGAAAGTGGTAAGGCCGCAGTCTGCCAGAGGCGGAAAACTCCGAGACCTGAAAAAAACAAGTCCATCCTACTGTGTTCCACTCTCGCTGTTTCACTATACAAGGGGGCTTCAAAAAGTCGGTAGAGAAATCCCATTATCTTTTTGTCTTACTCTACTAACTTTCTGAAGCCTTCTTATAGTTTATATTTTTTCCCAAAATTGTTAGCTGCTTTTGAATTGATTTTCAACTCAACAGCAACCCCCTTCGTGAACAGAGTCAAATTGTACCATAGGGTTTTCAAGGCTGTAATCTTTCAGATCCAAGACAAATGAAGTCCATGGAAGCAGCAGTCAAGAAATCAAACGACATATTGCATTAGGCAAATATGCAGCACAAGACCTTTTTAAAGTGTTGAAGAGCAAAGATGTCAGCTTGAGGACTAAGGTGTGCCTGACCCAAGCCATGGCATTTCAGTAACCTCATATGCATGCGAAAGCTGGACAGTGAATAAGGAAGATCGTAGAAGAATTGATGCCTTTGAGTTATGGTGTTGGAGAAGAATACTGAAAGTGCCGTGGGCTGCCAAAAGAACCAATAGATCTGTTTTGGAAGAAGTACAGCCAGAGTGCTCCTTGGAGGCCAGGATGGCTAAGCTTCATCTCTCATACTTCGGACATATTGTCAGGAGGGAGCAGTCACTGGAGAAGGATATCATGTTTGGTAAGGTGGAGGGTCAGAGAAAAATAAGAAGACCCCCAACGAGATGGACTGGCCAAGTGGCAGCATCGATGGACTCAAGCGTGGCAACGGTGGTGATGTTGACCCAGGATCGGGCAGTGTTTTGTTCTGCTGTGCATAGGGTCGCTATGGGTCAGTACAGACTCGATGGCAGCTAACAACAACAACAACAATCTTTCAGAAGCAGATGGCCAGGCCTTTTTCTGAGGAGCCTCTGGCTGGGTTAGAACCAAATTTTGGGCTAGTAACCATCTGCACCACACTCCAGGATTCCAATTTTATTAAAATTTTTTTTTTTTTTTTTGAAATGAACATATTATTTTATATCATAAAGGAATAATAAAATGTTTCATAGTGGCCCCTTACTTACTCCCTGCACACTTCCAACGCTGTCAACTTGACATCAGTGAGGCGGGTATGCACTTGTGCCAGGCAATGTCACTGAGAAACTGTGTTGGGGCTGATGTGGGGTTGGGTGTTCTCAATGTGACTGCAGGCAGCAATATAACTTGGTGTGGTGTCAACTCTATTTGGACTCACAGTGACTCCAAGTGTTACAGAGTAGAACTGTGCTCCATAGGGCTTTCCTGGCTGTGATCTTTATGGAAGCAGATTGCCAGGACTTTCTTCCATGGTGTCATCGGATGAACTATCAACTTTTCAGTTACTAGTGGAGCACAAACATCTGCGCCACCTAGGGACTCCCACGTACCAAGTTTTGTCAGCTCTCCTCATTGGAGACCACAGTAATTCCCACCTTGGTTTTACTAATGTTTGCTTCTGGGATGTGTGTATATTGTAGGATGTAAAGCAGCATTCCTGGTCTCCAGTGTCCCAACAAGGGTCGACAAACAAAAGCATTTCCAGATCTGGCAGAATTGCCCTGTGCGAGGCCCACTGATACAGAGTAGTCTGGGGGTTGGCAAACTCTGGACTGTGGGTCAAATCTAGTTTTGGTAAGGTACCAGAGCTAAGAATGCCGTTTAATCTTTGAAAGGAGTTTTTACAAAAAAACCCCCCACAAAACATAAAGAAAACGCAAGAGATGCCTAGTTCTCTGAGGCTAGAATCTTTACTCTCTGGCCCTTTCCTGATCAAGTTGCCATTGCACTGTGTGGGTATATCACAGTCTGTGTAGAGACTCCATTCTCTGATGATGGTTATTGTTAGGGATCAAAATGTGCTCCCCAAAACATTACATTCAAATCCTACCAGTGCAACTGTGAAAATGACCCTGTCTAGAAATAGGGTGCTATGGACTGAATGGTGTCTCCCTAAATAAGTGCTGGAATTGTTTACTTGTGGGATGTGATCCAGTTTGGAAAGAGTTTTCTCCTATGTTAATGAGGGCATATCAGAATAGGTGGGTTCTGCGATATATAAAACAACAGACACAGGGACACACTCAGGGAAGACAAGCGCCACGCCAGGGTCCTCTACAAACCCCAGGGTACAGACAAGGAAGGGATCAACACGCCCAACACCAAATTGGACTTTTAGCCTCCACAACTGTGAGAATAGAATTTTGTTTTTTCAAAAGCCACTCAGCACTTGAGGTATTTGTGTTATAGTTGCTCTACAACAGTGGAGTTTTCTTTTGTTAAGTTAATAAGGTCATGCTGGAGTAGGTGGGTCCTGAACCTAATCAATTCTGAGAGACGTCATGTAACAAAGGTACAGCAGACACAGTGAGATACACAGAGGGAAGACAAATGCCCTGTGGAGACACATGTACAACTAGGGGATACCCAGGGCTATCAAAGGTGCAAGAGAGAAGGAACAGTCTCGACAGCTAATAGAGAGAATGTAGGGCCCTGCTGACTCCCTGAATTTGACTTCTAGCCTCCAGAATGGTGAGACAGTAGTGTTCATGTGTGATTTCTCGTTACAGCTTGTCCTTGTAGACTGAGACACGCATGTCCGCATTTTATTTTTATTTCATTACTGTAGAATCAACTGTGACTCAAGGTGATCTAAGGGGTTTCAGGATACAGCTACTCAATGACAGTTTTCAATGGCTGCTTTTTGGGAAGCAGATGCCCGTGCCTTTATTCCAAGTCACTTCTCAGTGAACTCAAGCCATCAACCTTTTGGTGAGCAGCTGAATGTTTAACCCTTCACACCACCCAGAGACTCCTTGCCATTTTCTGGTGACTACAAAGAAGGCTGCTGTTGGCATATTTGTGATCATCTTTGGTGAACAGATGTGAGCATTTGGTTTGGCCTACCTAGCTGTAGTAGACACAGCCACAGCGTTTCCCAAACGTGTGGGGGACTTGGGGTAGTGTAGGAGGGCCAGGGGAGGGTTTAACGTGCACTCCCAGGGACTTGTGACTTATGGTTCCAGGCCCTTCCCTGTATTTGCGGTCCCAGGGTTCCTGTCTGTCTGTGACTGGTGGCTGGGGAGGTGGATGAACGTGAATGTGGACGTGGACACTCACTGTTTCTTGGTGGCCGGCAGGAAGCCCACCATCTCCATGGCTTGCTTGAGCCGTTCAAAGTCGTGCTTCAGGTCCTCCGCGTCCTCAATCTTCAAGTTATGCTGAAACACAGGGTGCAAAGTGTGTTGCGAGGGCTGAGCAGTGCCCCCCACCTCTGAGGTGGGCTGGAGGCTGCACCCCTGCACGGGTGAACATGACCTATTTTGGAGAAGCCGGGTTTTTCTATGCAGATGGTATCAGTTAGGTTAAAGAAGCCTCACCGGAACACTTGTTAGTGCTCTTCAGCCAATTTAGACTCACAGCGACCCTGTATAGGGTTTTCATGTGGCACTGTAGGATCAGCACTAGACTGCGAACCACAAGGTCGGCAGTTCAAACCCATCAGTTGCTCCTTGGAAACCCTATACAGGGTCTCTATGAAACAAACGAACTTGGTGGCACTTAACAACAATTGGATTTTTGAGGCTGTAAAAATCTTTATGGGAGCAGAAAGTTTCATCCTTCTCCTACAGAGTGGCTGGTGGGTTTGAACTGCCGACTTTGTGGTTATCAACCAGGACTCCCTTCACACCAAAGTAGGGTGGGTCCTAAATCTAATCCCTTCTGAGTTCTAAGAAGAGCAGAATAGAAAGAGACCACAAATGGTGCATGTGACAGGGGTCTACCAGGGCGACCCAGGAAGGCCAAGGCGACCATGGGTGAAGCCGAGACCAATTGGGACTCTAGTTCCAGAATGGTGAGACGATAAGTTTCTGTTCTTTAAAGCCACTCGCTCTGTGGTGTTTGTGTTGCTGCAGCTCTAAGAGACTAAGGGAGAGAACACAAGACAAAACAAAAACAAACAGAAAAAGGGAAAAGAGACAGGGAGAAACACATACCAGGGAAGACAGGTACCGTATGAGGATGCTCCTACAAGCCAAGGAATGCCACGAATCACCCAGGGTTACAGAAGGTGGGACAAAGGGGAAGGCTCTGCCCATGATGTCCACAGAGAAAGCAGGGCCCGGCTGACACCTTGAGTCCTGGTTTGGCTTTGTAGGAGAAGCACTGGACCTCAAGATTGGTTTGAACCACAAGGTCAATGGTTCAAACTCACCAGTCACTCTTCGGAAACTCTATACTGGGTTGCTATGAGTCCGAACAGACTCGAAGGCACTTAACAACATCTGACACCCTGAATTTGGACTTCTAGCCTTCAGAGGCGAGAGATAATAAATTCCTGTGCTTCCAAGCCACCCACCTGTGTTACCCAACAGCCTTTGGAAACTAAGACAATAGTGAAGCATCAGCTTTGCCCAATCTGAGGTCTGGTTGGGGCCCTCAGTTCCTGGGAGGTGGCCTCCAGGCCCCCAGAGGGTTCGGTCTGATTGGAGAATCTCTACCTGGGGCTCTGCCTACTGGACAAATGGTACAGACTGAACTGTGTCCCCCCACATGGGTGCTGGTGCCCTAACTCCTGTACTTGTGGATATAATCCTGTTTGGGAACAGAGTTTTCTTTGTTATATTAATGAAGCCCTATTGATGTAGGTGGATCCTAAACCTAATCATTTCTTGGAGTTGTAAAAGATTAGATAAGACACAGACCAGACACTGGGAGAAGACGACTCTGACGAGGGAAACAGGTCGTGTCTAAAAGCCCAAGAGTGCTACTAGAAGCTGACATAGATCAGGAAGGACCTTCCCCTCGAGCCATGGACTTCTGGCCTCCAGAACTGTGAGAAACTCAATTTCTGTCCCTTAAGGCCACCCACTTGTGGCATTTCTGTTACAGCAGCTCTAGGGAACTAAGAAGGCAGTTTAGGTCAGCCACGCGAGAGACCAGCCAGGTGGAGGGGACTATGAGCCAGTAAAGACCCTAAACACTGAGGCCCAGGGGAGCCTTCAGCTAAGTTCATCCGGTGCTCGTTTGCTGAAATAAGATTGCTGTCTTATGTAGAGTGTTCCCTGAGTTGTCCTCCTGAGCCACTGAGTCTGAGGGGCTGTAGGGAGCCCCAAGGGACCCCCAGACCTACGGCTGGAGTCTGGAGTGGGGAATGTTCCCTCAAGCTTCGTAGCTTGGCAAGCTCTCTACACATCAGGACTCTGGGTGTTTCTGAAGGGGTGAGGGCGGCGTGTGGGAAGGTGCCGGCTGAAGTTGGTGGGTGGGGCGGGACTTGGGAATGAATGGGTCCTTTGTGCCACCTCCCCTGGATCCTTGAGGCAGCTTGGGAGCCAAGGACGGCCAGGGTAGATGACCTCTGGGCTCCTGGCGGCCTGAAAACAGCAGGCGGGAAACAGAAAGAGGGCATTTGTGGTTGGGGTTAGGAGCTTGTTTACCTGGTTGAGGTAGAAGTAATCTTCCGGCTGCCTGAGCTGGAATTCTTGGCGTTCTTCCTCGCTAACCCCGAGCAACAAGTAATAGAACACGTGGTAGTTCCTGCGGGCCAGGTGAGGAGGAAAAGGGCATTCTGGGGGTTGAGTAACAACTGCTCTTCAAACCACCTCTATAACTGCTCCAGAGACCATTCCAGGGAAGAAAACCCCCCCAAAACCAAGCCCTCTGCTGTGGAGTCCATTCTGACTCACAGAGACCCTATCTGGTAACAGAGCAGAATGGCTTCACAGGGTTTTCTTGACTGTGATATTCTGGAAGCAGATGGACAGGCCTCAAGCCTGTGATTCTGCACTGCCTCAAGCTACTAATCTTTAGCTTACTGTTTGAGTGTAATCTGTTTGCACTACGCAGGGAGGAAAAGGACCTCAAATAGGTATACACTGAAGTATAATTTACAGAAAGAAAAAGGCTTCTGGGCATAAAGAGAAATGAAATCCTGGTGCACACCACAACAGGGATGAACCCGGGAAACGTCATGCTGAGCTCAAGAAGTCAGTCTCAGAAGGACCAATAGTGTATGCTCTCAACGATGTGAAATTAGCCAGTCTACAGACGCAAAGACGACTTGTGTTTACCAAGGAGGGAGGGGAGGTGGAGGTGCTGCTTGAAGGGGGAGGGGGGAACACCGAGTTTACATTTTTAGTGGGGGGATGCTTTGGAAAGACAGCGAGGACAATGGCACAGCTGGAAGAAGGTCATCAGCGTCACTGAATTGGACATGCGGGAATTGTTGAATGGGTATATGTTTAATTATGAAGATTTTCACTGTTTTAAAATAAGGGCTTCTTTGGTAAGTAGATTTCTCTGGGAGCGTGTTTGTCTTCTGACCTCACCAGGTTTTGGCAGGCCTCTGGACACCCACTCTGGGCAAAGCCTGGGGGAGGGATGAGCAGGTGGCGTAGGTGGTAGGAGCACAGAGCTAACGTCTGACAGTTGGCCCGGGGAAGACAACCAAAGAACAGGCCCCCTTCTAAAAGGTGGTCCCATCCAAAAGAGCCCGGCCATGCTGTCCAGAGACATTCTCTGGATCTCAGAACACATACTGTTGATGATGCCAGCTGCTGCAAAGTTGACTCTGACACAGAGACTCCCCGTGTATCGGAGCAGACCTGTTCTCCACAGGCTTTTCAATAGCTGATTGCTCAGATGATCACCAGACCTTTCTTCTGAGGTGTCTTGGGAGGGAGGTGGGGAACCTCAAATCTCCAACCTTACAGTTAGCAGCCAAACGTTTTCACCATCTGCACCACCTGGGGACTCCTTTGCACAATAAATCCCCAAACTATTAACCAAAGCAGCTGTTCTGTTGCGGGGCTGATTCTAACTCATGGCGGTCCATGTTAAGGCTACAACTGTGCCCCACAGGGTTTGCAAAGCTGTGACCTTCTGGAAGCAGATCACCAGGACTGTCTTCCAAGACACTTCCAGGTGGGTTTGAACTGCCAATTTCTCAGCTTGTAAGGTGCTTACCCACTTGCACTTTTTAAGCTTCTTCCCCACTAGGTACTGATACAGGTAGCTGTGGGTGTGACAGTCAGAGACCAGTAAAGGAAATGCCCCCTTCCTTCCTACCTCTCGTCCTTCTCCTGGGAGACGAGGCGAGATTTTTCTAGCAGATACTTTTCCACAATAGCTCTGTTAAAAGAGAAAGAAACAAAATGTTAAAGTTTAACATTTTCTTTTTTAAAACTTTTCATTGTGAACTGGGTGAAGGTCTACAGAGCACATCATCAGTTTGGCATTTGGCAATTTATACATTTTGTTTCATTTCCATTGATTGTAACCCCTCGATGTAACGTCACTTATCCCACTTCCTCCCTGCCTACAATTCTCTATCTTCCCTAACCCTTCTGAATGTTGTCCTGGGGTAAATGCTGCCCTTTTGATGTCAAATGGTTGGTTATTCTAAGGACTGTGTCTCCCTAGTGTCACTGTCCCCCTTCCTTATAGACCTGTCTACTGTCTGGCTGAAAACTGAACCATGGAGGAGAGTATTACTTTCTTGATGAAATAAACTGCTACCATGTGTACAGGACTGAATTATGTACCCCCCAAAATAATGTGTTGGAAACCCAAACCGCACATCTGTGGAAGTGATCCCACTTGGGCGCAGCGGTCACTCTACTGAGTGAATGAGGCATTTACTAGTGTTGGGTGGGTCTTTGGCCTATCACTTTTTTTTTTTTTTTAAATGTTTAACTGTGAATTATAGTTTACATGGGAGAACATTAGCTTTACATTCATCCTATTGTATATCGTTTCATTGCCATGGTTACAATTCCCTCCATGCACCATCAACCAACCAAAGAGTATACCCTGAAAGCCTGGCCCCCCATCAGCACACACCCTCTCTCCCTCCCTGGGTCTAGAGTCCCCAGCCTCTCCATCTCTCCACGTCATCATCTCTGCCTCCATCTCTGGCGTCACTGCTTCTCTGGGTAGGGCCCCGCTCTCTGCTCTTCTCCCTTCATGGTCCCAGGGACCTTCGCTACTGGACTGCAAAGTCAACCACTCCCCTCCTTTTGCTACAAAATGTGTATCTTTACATTTCCAACTCTCACAGTCAGTCCTGATAGCAAGTATTCACTATTGTGCCACATGAGCGCTATCCCCATCTCCTTTCATCAGACCTGCCCAAACAGATTGGATACTACTCAGTAGAGAGTCTACCTTCCTCCACGCCCTCTGGATCTAGGCTCCCTCCTGAAAGCTTGTAAGCCAGTAGCATCTTGCCTTTTTAGCCCCCCATTTTAGGTAAGCCAGTGTCCAAGTTGTTCATCCCTGTCTACCTTGTGTATTGAGGGGGTGGGAATGGTCCTCGCTGTAAAGATTTGTTCCCTCTTTTGAGCTACTGTATCCATAGGTGTAGGTCAAGTTCATCAAATTGTATCAGCGTATTCTTTTTTTCCTCTTCTTTCTTCTTCTAGTTGAGCTCTGATCATCCAGACATTGAAACCAGGTCAAGTGCGTATTATCTGCAAGTGTGGGTGTTCTTGTGCATATGCCCTCTCTTCTTATCAGCTGGATGCTTCACTCTCCATTTTAGTCCTCTGTGGCTATGTCACTGACTCTGGGCCGAAGAGTCCCCAGTCACGAGCACGTTCGGCCCAGAAGGTGGCAGGCAGTATTTGAAGATGGTGAACACAGACCAGTCTGCTAACCCAGGAGATCCAAGGACAGGTGGCTAGAGACTCTGTCACAGGGATCTGCCCCCAGAGCCGACAGACAGAAAGCCTGCCCCTAAAGCCAGCGCCCTGAATCACATTTCTAGCCTCTTAAATTATTAGAAAATCAACTTCTGTTCGTTAAACTCACCCACTGTGGCACTTCTGTCACGGCAGCACTAGGGAATGAAGATACCAGATGGTCTCCAAATTAACCCCTTGGACACAATGTAATCAACAAACAAACAAAACCTCTGGTTGCTAGGCTGACATTTGGTGGACCCTGTATGCCAGAGAACTGTGATCCACAGAGGTCCAACAGCCAGACTTTCAGAAACAGATCACCAGGCCTTTCTTCTGAGGTGCCTCTCGGGGGACTTGACCTTTCAACCTTTTGGTGAGCACCAAATATGTTTGCCATTTGCATCCCCCGCCCAGGCACTCCACAATGTAAACTGCTGCTGTTTTTGCGTGCTGTCGAGTTGACTGAGACGTCTAGAGACTCCAGGTGACAGTCGACCCACCAGGTAGGTCTCAGGCTGCAGGCTTTATGGGAGCGAGTTGCCCAGTCTTTTTTCTTGTGGAGCAGCTAGTGGATCTGAACCACTGACCTTTTGGCTGGCCATTGAATGAACGCTTAGGCACCGTGCCACTAGACCTTCTTATAATGCAAACACACACATATAAATAAGATCATTCTAAATACTGTCCCTCCTGACAGTTAGGATCTTTAAACAAAGGAACTTGGCCAGTCGCTTCTGTTTCCTAGGCCAGGGTCCTACACAAACGTGAATGTGACTGGAGCTGACCATTGGTCTTGGACGTCCAGGTGCAGGCTAACCCGCAGGTGTGGGGGAAACAGGGCAGTTTATGGGCTTCTACTCGAGTCCTGGTATGGACTGCAAAGTCGGTTTGATCCACAAGGTCATCAGTTCAAGCTCACCAGCCGCTCCTTGGAAACCCTATACAGGGTCACTATGGGTCAGTCTCAACGGCACCTAACAACTGGAGTTCTGGTACGAGCACAGTGCGTTAATGTCCTGGATTGCAAAGTTGGTTTGATCCACAAGGTCAGCAGTTCAAGTTCACCAGCTGCTCCTCAGATACCCTATACCGGGTCATTATGGGTAGGAATCGACTCAGCGGTGCTTACACCTGGATCTACATGGGAAGCCTGTCTGGGGGGCCACCACCATCCCCCCAAGAATGGGATTATTTCTTTTCCCCACAACTGAAAACTGAAGAAGACATCTGACTTGGGTTTTATAATTGTTTAAACAGCTTTGTTACCATATAGAGACCAATGGCAGCTCAGTGGTAGATTTCCAGCCTCCCATGTGAGAGACCCAGGTTCTACTCCCGGCCAGGACACTTCACCTACAGTCATCACTCTTCTGTCCCTGGAGGCTCGCATGTTGTGAGGATGCAGAACCAAACTCAGTGGAGCTTCCTAACTAAGGAGAACTAAGGAAGAAAGCCCTGGCAACTGGCTTTCAATAATCAGCCTGTGAAAAGCTGGAACAGAAAATGAGGATGGCACAGAACCGGAGAGAGTTTCTTTCCTTTGTGCACGCGGCCACCATGAGCAAACCACCATTATACCAACCAGAAACTCAGTGCCTCTTAAGCACTGTCTCTATGCGTTGACCCTTCCAGACGTTTCACATCAAGGAGACCACGCAGTATTTGCCCTTTTGTGTCTGGCTTCTTTTGTTCAACAGAACCTTTCCTTTCTTTAAACAGGGGGGCCAGCCCCTGAGGGCTCCGAGTACATGAATCCACAGAAAGATGATGTCTTACAAATTGGAGAACTGGGGTGCCTTGCTTTTTGACTTCAGCTGGAGGCAGAACTGAGAAGTGTCACCTGACCAGAGTGGCTCAAAATGGAGCCATGGTTAAGCTGGTGGCGGCTGCTCCCTGGGCAGAACGTTTCTCTCCAGAATCTGCACACCC